AGCGACACGGGCCTGAAGGCGGTGCGATGCCAACGCGTGAACGCTTTGAAAAAAAAGGTAACTTTCAAACTGGTGCTTCCGCCTTAGCGCCGCGGACATTCGGAGTTGCATGCATGGAACCCGCCATGCCAATGTAAACCTGTACTCTTTATTGTGCATGTCAAGATAGGTCGTGTTTTTAGTGCCCTTCAACCTGTGTCTTCTTTTTTTTAGTACCTTTCGAACTTTGTCATATGTTTTAGTACCTTTTTGGATTGGTTATTTTTCCCTACCTTGGCTCTGCCTAGAGGGTTCTTAATATCTTTCTTAAAGGGGCCGGGCAGTGGAAATCGCCCCGGGCGGTTCCCCCGGCATCCGCCCCGCGGTTCCCCCATTCGCGCCCCCTGGGTTTGCCCAGCTTAGGTTAGCTTAGCCTAGCTTAGTTTAGCTTAGCTTGGCTTATCTCATCTCATCTTAGCTTAGCTTAGCTTAGCTTAGCTTAGCTTAGCTTTGTCGAGCCTAGCTTAGCTTAGCTTAGCTTAGCTTAGCGTAGCTTAGCTTGGCCTAGTTTAGCTCAGCCTATCTCATCTTAGCTTTGCTTAGATGAGTTTAACTTAGCTTAGCTTCGCTTAGCTTGGCTTAGCTTAGCTTTAGCTTAGCCTAGCCTAGCCTAGCCTAGCTTAGCCTAGCTTGGCTTAGCTTAGCTTTAGCTTAGCTTAATTTAGCTTAGCCTAGCCTAGCCTAGCCTAGCCTAGCCTAGCTTAGCTTAGCTTAGCTTAGCTTAGCATACCATATCTTAGGTTAGCTTAGCTTAGCTCACCTTAGCTTAGCTTAGCTTAGTTTAGTTTAGTTTAGCTTAGCTCAGCTTAGCCTCAGCCTAGTTTAGCTTCGCTCAGCTTAGTGTAGATGTAGATGTATATGTAGGTGCAGATGTGGATGTAGGTGTAGATGTAGATGTAGATGTAGATGTAGATGTAGGTGTACATGTAGGTGTAGATATCGATGTTGATGTGAGTCTCGCTGTTGATGTTGATGTAGATGTAGATGCAGGTGTAGCTGTGCGTGTAGCTGTCGGTGTAGATGTAGATGTTGCGTTCCTAAATGCTCCAACTCCTAGGTAGGGTCGCTATGGGATAATTTTGTACCTTTCGAACGTATGTCCAACCGATGTTAACGTGGTATGTTTCATTGCCAACATTAAACCATGTATTTGTTTTAGTACATTTCAGAACATCTCCTGTTGTTTAGCACTTCTTTTGTATAGGTCCAGTTCTAGGGCCGAAACAACCTTTGGGCATGCCGCGGCCCCCGCAGTGGCCGCGGCGTGCGTCGCCGCTGTGGCGGGCCCAGACGTTGGCCCCCTGATCACAGCGGGGGGCGTGCGCTCGATGTGGGGGGTCGGCGCGGGGCCGAACGTCGAGGCCCAGCTGCGGGCTGCGAAGCTCGCGCTTGCCCCCGGCCACCTCCGCGCCGCGTCGCAGCGGGGCGCCCGGGAAATCATCGACGGCGGCCCTGGCTTCCGGGTCGACGCCGGGCTCGTCGACCCCGCGGCGGTCGCGCCCTTCGCGCGCTTGAGCGACGACGCGCGCAGCCCACCTCCTGCCGAGGAAGAGGCGGGCCCGCGGGAGGTGGGCGCGGTCGAAGCGTTCGCGCGCGCAGCGGCCCGAGCAGAAGCCACGCGGCGCGCGAGGCAGGGGGCCAGCGCGACGGCGGCTGCGCGCGGAGGCTGCGGCGAGGCGCGTCCGGCCGGGAGCCCCCGCCCCGCTCCGCGTGAAGGGGGCGGTGGGGCGCGCCCGACAGGGGGCCCCTGTCCCCCGCGCAGCCCGGCGCTGGCCTCCGAACCGGACCCTGCCGCGGCTTCGCGTGGAGGGGGGCGGCCATGCGGGCCCGACCGGGGGGCCCCCGCCCCCCGCGCAGCCCTCCATCGGACACGGGGCTGGCCGCGCAGGACGACCGCCGCGCGAGGCCGCGGCTGTCTCCCAAGCCGAAGCATGCTATAGGGCTGGCCACTGCTCGCGTTCCCAACATCGCCCTGGAGGGGGCGCCCAGGGCCGCGCGCGGGGGGCCGGCCCAGCGCGCGGCCGGAGCACGATGACGGAGGCCCTCGCCCCCGAGGCGCCACGTGGGCAGGGCGGCAGGGCGAGTGCGGTCGGCGCCCCGCGCCCGCCGCGCAGTCCATCCCCGGCCTCGATGAGGGTTAGGCGGGGCGCCCGTCGGTCACGCTCGCGCCGTCCGGCAGCGCGGGCGCCCATCGCCATGGCGGATCGCCGCCCACGCTCGCGGCGCCGCGCTGCGGCGACCGGAGGACCGCGCGCGAGGGGCCAACCCAGCGCGCGGCGGAGCGACGGGGGCGCCCTCGACCGCGCCCGCGGCACCGGGGCGAGGGGCAGGTCTGCAGGGCGCCGCGGGCGCTCGGGCGGAGACACCAGCGCTCCGCGGCCAATGGGGGGGGAGGCGTCGAGGAGCTCATAGCCGCCGACGCCCCCCTCAGGCGCCGCCCCTGGCCCGAGACAGGTGGCGATGCCGCGGAGGGTCACCGAGCAGAAGCACGAGCGGGGGAAGTCGATTCGGATCGCTCGGGCCCCGCGAACCGTGGGTGTGGCCGAGGTGCGCGAGGTGGCGGGGGAGTTCGGGGCGGTGCGGCGCGCCGCATTCCTGTGCGACGCCAGGCACAAACGGGGGCCGCATGCCGTGGAGTTCACGAGGCATCGCCATGCGCCCGCAGCGCTCGAGGCCTTGAACGAAGACTGCCGCTTCTTCCCGGAGGACGGCGGCCCGCCGGCGAGGTGCCACTGGAGTTCGGCGCCCCGGAGCCTTGGCGGCGGGTCCGACAGGGGGGGGGGGGGGGGGCTCTGAAGCTGACGGGCCCCGCGCGCCAGCCATGCGTGGATGGGGCCCCGACGAGCTGGGCGACCTTCGCGTGCAAGCGAGGCGCCCCATGGCCATGCGCGCAGTGCCCCGCCAACGGGGGCAACGCGGGCCCACTGAGATGGTGCTGCAAGGCTTGCAACAGGTCGATGTGCGAGCCCTTCCGCGCAGACGCCGAGTCGGCCGCAGAAGATGAAGTCTCGGAGCGGAGCGATGGCTATCCTTGCCCTCGCGAGGGCTCGCAGCGTTCCCCGAGCCGCCCGCCCTGCCCGCGCGCGGGCGGGGGCGGCCCCTCGCGCCCCCGCGCGGGCGCCCGCCCAGCCCGCGCCGCGGCGGCGGAGGCCCCGACGGCGCCAGGGGGCCCACTCCCCCGGGCAGGACGAGGAGGCCGGGCGGCCGCCCGCGAGCCCCGCGGGGGGAGGGGGTGGGGCCGAGCAGGAGAAGCGCCGCCGGCGCGCTGAGCGGGAGAGGGCCGAGTCCGAGGGCAAGGGGGCCACCGGCAAGGCGAAGAGGGCAAGAAGGGCTCGAAGAGCTCCGGCCGGTGACAAGGGCAAGCACTACATGGGCGGCCAGGGCGGCAAGGGCGGCAAGAGCCGTCGGGCTGACCGGGGCGGCAAGGGCAGCAAGGGCGGCAAGGGCCACCGTGCTGCCCGGGGCGGCGAGGGCGGCCGGCAGGGCGAGGGCCCGTGCGACGCGTCGCACCGGGTCCGAGGCTGCCCTCTTCTTTCTTCTTGGCATCACCTCTGCAATGCCTGCCCGCGCCACGCGGGCGCGGCCGGCGGAGTGGCCCCGGGGGCTGCGGCGCGCAGCTGCGGGGGGGCCCGGCCGGGGGCCTGGCGGCTGCATGCCCTTTCCATTTCTTGCATCGCCCCTGCGACGCCCGCCCGCGCCTTGCAGGCGCGGCTGGCGGGGTGGCCCCAGCGGCTGCGTCGCGCCCAGGGGGGCCTGGCGCCGCGCCCAGGGGGGGCCCGAGGGCGGGGCTAGTGGCCGCACAGAGCGCCGTCCGCTCGCGCGCCCTGTGGGCCGCGCTCTTTCCTGTCGGCAGCGGCCGGGCGGCTGCGAGCGCGCCGGAGCGCGCCCGCGCGTCTGCGCGAGCAAGGCGCGCGCGCGGGTGCGAGCGCGGAGCGCGGCATGTGCGCCGTTTTGCCAAAAGTCCGCTTCCCCTCTCTCCCCTCTGCTGTCTCCTCCTTCCTCCTCCTTCTCCTCCTCCTCCTCCTCCTCCTCCTCTCTCGTTAAGTGTACGCGTGCCTCGCTTAACTTGTGGAATCTGATTTGCAGGTTGACTGCGAGTTACGTGCAGCACGGTGCTTTTGGCACTTTGGCCACTGTCGCCAGTGGCTCAAGATCATGTGCCCGCCCACCCCGCCGACGCCCCGTGGCGCTCGCGGTCGCTCCTAGGCCGGGCGGCCGCGAGCGTGCCAGAACGCGCCCGCGCGTCTGCGCGGGTGCGAACGCGGAGCGCGGCGTGTGCGCCGCCTTGCCAGAAGTCCGCCCCCCTCTCTTTCCCCTCTGCTGCCTCCTTCCTCTGCCATGGTCCCGCCTCGAACCGCTGCCTTCTGATGAATCCTTGGGTGCTGTTCTCGTTTATTATCCTGACGATGTGCTTGTCACTTTCGATCTCGACGATGCGGGCGCGCGGGCAGCGGGGGGGGGGGGGCGCGAGGCTGCTCGCGCGATGGCGAGAGAAGAGAGCTGCATGGCTGCGGCGGGCCAGCTCACAGTCGTGCGCCTCGCAGGCGCGCGCCGGGAGTCCAGCGACCAGTTGTCGCTGTAAAAAGCTCGAGGATTGAGCCAAGACGGTTTTGGAGAAAACGCATTGGGAAACGCGTGAAGCACTTAAAAAGAAGCTTCTAGGGCTTGGGGCTCTACAGGGCACCTTGGGGAGACCGCTGAGCATGGCTAGGGGGCCTGCTGCGCCGGGGAACGCGGACTTACGTACTATGGATAGTACGTACTGGCCCCTTCAGGGCCTTGTCTTGAACTTGGCCTCGATGGGCCATCTGTCGCAGGTGGGCACTGGGAGGTCGGCTCTGGGCTGTGAATCGCGCGCCTGCAAGTTTAAGTGCGATGTTACGGCGTCGATGCCTGTCCTCTCCTTTCGAATTCACAGACAGCGTAGAGCGCGTGGTAGGACCCACCCGGCCCCAGAGGGCCTCATGTCTGGCAGGTCCAGCCTGCTGGGATTCGTCGTCGCGCGAGAAGTGCACCAGGGATTCCAGGGCGGCGTCGGGATCCAGCGGGGTGCCGTGATCTAGCTCATCGATGCCCTCGGACTTGCGCTTGCGTGCTGACCGATGGAGAGGATCGCCCACTAGCCGCCAGCGCTGTCCGTTTCTGATGAACTCCAGTAGGGCCTTGGCCGCGCGGTCCTTCGCGAGACCGTCGGCTAGCATGGCGTCGCTGTGAACCCAGCGAATCTGGAGCCCTGTCTGCTGCTTCTGCTGCCTAATGCCCTTGCGCTCGATACTGGTCCTCTTATCTCGAAGACCCAATCCAGCAGACTTGCTCTTCCCGATGGCGTCGTGCCCGGGCTTCCCGTCTGTGGCCGGGGCTCCAGGACAGGTTGAGACGGCGTCGTTCACGGCCTGCTTGTTGGTATAATCCACGTGGCCGCACTCAAGCTCGTAGTGGAACAGCCGCGCGTAGCTGATCTCGTCGAGCGTCTCCGTCATCATCTGCACCTCGGCACTCGCGCTGCTTCTAGCAACGCGTGGCAATTTGCATTATCTCCAGGAGATCGGCGCCGCTGTCTGCGTGGATCCTCTTAGAAAAGATAGCGGTGCCAGCGCGATCATCTCGCCTCCTTGGGATTCTCCTGTGGCCCAGGCTGCCCACGCGGCGACGCCCCAGTCAACAACTGCCAGCTTCTCGATCGCAGGCGTGACCATGATGACGTCAGCGGTGTCGTTTGTGGCGCGGATGAGTTCGCTGATCTTCTGAATCGCGGAGACCGTCGCGGTAGGAATCTCGGCTTGTAGTAGCGAGCGTTCGGCGCTGAGCCGCGGCGCTGACCTCTGCGCTCCCCAGCCCGCGGTGCCAAGCCGTCCCCGTAGATCAGAGCGCTCACGATTGGAATTTCCGTCAGTGGGCTTCCTGCCGCGTTTGATTGGAATCGGCTCCACGTTCATGTTGTAGGTGTCCTGGGCGAGGCTGCGCGTGAAATCATGCTTCTGGCGGATGCTGACTCCACATGGAACGGGGGCTTTGCTCTCCCAGGGTGTCCATTCGAAAGCTTGTTGAATCCCATTCCGCTTCTGCAGGAAGGATTTGTTAGTATGGTCTCTGGCGATCATCATATCGTCTATGTGTATAATGACCATGCCGATCGACTTGCCGTCGCCATCCCTGGTGGCCCAAACGCAGGGCTCGCACTGGATGGCCTCAAGCTTAAGCTTGTTGAGAGTCTCCTTGACCTGTAGCCACCACTTCCGAGGTTCGTGTACGAACCCGTACATCGGTTTGAAGAACTGCAGCGCCTCGTCCTCCATGCCGAGGGTCTGGCGGACATCCTTGGGTGGGTCGGCGTAGATCTTCCGCTTTTCCTCGTCGGTCTCTCCTTGAAGGAATGCTGTCGCTGCGTCGGCCTTCTCCAGTAGCCACTTGTGCCTGGCGGCCAGAGCTAGTAGAAGCTGACGGGCACGTCGAGAAGCGACTGGAGATTCTGCGCGTAGATGGAGTAGATCAGGATCGCTGAAAACGAGTACCACGAGCCGAGCTTTGCCTTCCAGAACTTTACCTGGTTCGTCCTTTTTCCAGGTGAGCACGAAGCGGCAGCGTAGAAGTCGCGCTGGAGCCATGCCTTTTCGGGGGGGGGTCCTTAAGGCCTTGGCGCTGAGAACGAGGTGCACTCCTCCTGCTGGGCATCAAGTAGCATATTAGTTTCCTTTGGCGTTACCTCCTTTAGAGCTCCCACTCGACCCTTGCGAGCCTGCGAGGCCACGAAGTTGTTCGGGCCCTCGAAATAGTTCATGGAGGCGTGCTCGTTGGTAACTGGAATCCCCAACACGATCAGCTCGTCCTCCTCCCTGGTCTCGACGTACTGCTGGGTGCTGTAGGCGCAATCATTGTAGAAGTTTCCCTCCTGCAGATAGTGAGAGAAGTCCTTCTGAACTGCGGCGCTGATCCTGGGCTTCTTGGCGGGAGGCCCTGTCACCTCATCGGTGTCCACAGCCCGCTTCTGAGGTAGTTATGATCGAGTTTTTTTCGGATGCTGGGTCTTCCTCCAGTTCTCCAGCTTCCGAGCCGTCCAGGAAGGGCTTCTGCGGGGCCTGATCCTCCATGTCGTCGTCTTTCGGGCCGATATGTAAAGTTTCCTCGTCGGCTGCGGCTGGAACTTCTGCTTCTTCTGCAGGTGGTCCTTCAGGGGGCGATTCGAGTCCAGGTGGTGGCTCTTGTGGTACGTCTTGTATGAGTGGCTCCTGTGGCTCCTCCAGCGTCCACGGATTTGACTTCCGTCGCAACCGTCTCGTAGGTACTGGTGGCGAGGGTGCTGGTCGTGAAGCTGGCGATGACGTGGCTCTTCTTCCGCCTCCAGTCGCGTAAACCTGAAGTACTCCTTGAGATGGTGGGGGCCTGTCGTCATCTTCATCAACTGCCCAGGGTCCACTTGGGTTGTGCTCGAACGTTCGAGCGCTTGTAGATTCCCCGCCGTCGTAGGCGAGGTCGTTACTGGTGGGTGGCGGCTCGTTGGTGAGGTCGGTCACCTCGTTGGTGTCGAGCTGCTTCTGTACCTTTCCTAGCGTCCAGGTGCCTGGCTGTTTGCCCCGAGATCGGAGCGCGTCCATAGCTTCTTCAAAAGGCGTGGCTGGTCGCAGCTGTACGGTTACAACTCGGTAGAGCCGTCCTGCCAGGGCAATGTTCACGACTGCGCCAGGTAGACCAGGTCGGTGTCCAGAGCTAGCGGGTTCGTGACAAAGTACTCTTTCAGGTCCGTGCCAGCGTCCTCGTCCGGGCATTGATCGCGGTTGTCACTTCTTCCTCCAGGCTCCAGGTGGGGCCCGCGGTAGACGAATACTAAGTTCCCGCAGTTGTACTTCTTGAAGGACCTGAGCTTTGCCGCCTCTGCCCTCTTGACTCTATCTGAGTTCTCGGTCTGCATGTGGGCCAGTTGGGACAGTCGACGTATCTGAGCATGTCTGGCGAACGTGCTGTCCTGTAGCTCGGCGCTGCTGTGCGGGTGGTCGTCCAGCTCGTAGTCGAGGTTGACAGTCGCCCCCGCAGGCGTCCTTCTGGCGCAGCGCTGAAATGGACTGAAGCCGTCGATCCTCGCGAGGTCATTGCGGGTTGCCGTCCGGAGGCCGAACATCTCATTGGTAGACGCGTCGGGGGATCATTTCGTCGAAGGCGTCGAGGGCTGCCTTGAAGGCCTCGATGGCGCTCTCGATCTTCCCGATGTGCCAGTGTGCGTCAGCAGCACGCGGGAGGCAGTATATGCATTGGCTCTCGACCCACTCCCTGAATTCGTCGGAGACAGCGCTGCCACCTGGGTCGTAGCGCATGACCTTTGGGCGCCGCATCCATGGGAACCACTTGGTGGCGAAACTATATCGTGGGTATCCAGCTTGTACTTGGCGTAGTTGTTATGTTATCTTCTGTTCGTCGATCAAACGCACGTAGAGAATGTCGGAACCCGCGTCCAGAACCGCGAGCCCCATAGCGTTGGTGCTCGTGCTGCGACGAATCCAAGAGAAGGCGTCAAATACATAACTCTGCTGATGATGCTGGCGACCGCTTCGTAGGAGGTCGGTGAGCGTCGCAGATGTCGCACTTAAAGTTGCGAGCGACCCGTAGTACTTCAGGTCGGGCATCTCGATCTCGGAGATAGCGAATGAGATTCGCACGTGGAAGGTGTCCCAGATTGGTGTAGACCAGTCTCACGTAGCTATCCAGCTTCCTGGTCGTCTCCCTCGTTTAGCCGAGGGAGCCCTTCCCGTCCTTAGGTGGTAGCAGCTCCTCTGTCGACTCCGGGGTCGGCTCCGCGGGGGGCTGGTGTTCAGCTGCCAAGCAGTGGTGGTTCACGGTCTCCTCTTCGAAGTAGCTCAAGTTAGCGTTGCGCGTGAGTGCCCTCAGGATTCTTCGGCAGAGCAATTTCGGATATCTTCCTGAGGCTTCGGTTCGGCCACTTCCTTCAACCTCCTCGCGATAGTGTCCTCCGCGACGCTGAAGTGGCTGAAGGGCTACCCAGATGTGCTTGTTGTTGGCGCGGAACTTCCAGCGCTTCTTCATGGGCTCCCCGGCGCCGGGGGCTCGTAGTCCACGGGCGCATCCGTCCGCGATGACTTGGTAGGGCAGCAGCTTGCGTAGAAGACCTTCCAGCAGGTCTTCTGCCAAGAGCGGCTGTTATGCGGCTGCTCGGCGATGGCCGAGCCTTCGAGGTTGCTGACCTGATGCTCGATGACTCGATGAGACGCATGCTGTTCTCGAAGATCCGCTGGCTCTTCAGTCGCTTCTTCCGAAAATTCTCCTTCGGCTGGTCAGTGCGCTGGCTGACATTCTGGGTGATCGATCGCGCGCCGCAGGGTGGAGTGCTGACAAGTAGTTCTGGTTTGTTCTCGTTGATCATGTACTTGGCCTTGCGATAGCCGCGCGGCTTGCCGAGGTCGAGGTCGCTATGTAGTCCGAGCGGCGCGAACTCCAAACTTATCTGTTCGAAGATCTGGCCGAGGTTGGAGTCCTCAGGTGCGCGGGCTTCGACCATGGTCAGGCGGCCGAAGGTAGAGAGGGCGCGCGCGGCTCCGAACAAGGCGGTCTTGAAACTGCGCGTACAGACCTGATGGCTAGGCGCTGGCGCCCCATCTCGGCTCCAACGGACCCGCTCCTCATGATCTTCGCCCAGTCTTTCTGCGTGATCGCCTCCGCGCACGCCTTGCGGCGCCAGCTGTAGGGGTTGACCTTCATGATCGGCTCGTTCTTGGCGATCCCGCGCTGGGCACGACGCTCCGGAGCCATGCAGCCCTGTGCGAAGTGGTTCCTGACCGTGCCGCCCAGGATGTAGGGTTTGGTCTCCTGCCTTTTAATGTACGTCTCCTGCTCCTGCTTGACCTTGACCGTCGGCTTGGCGTCGCCCAGCTGCTGAAGGATGTAGGCTACCAGCCGGTCGCAGATCTCCTCCTTCTTGCCATTCTTTGTCGGTTCGTAGAGCTTGCAGGGCGGATTGAGGTAGTTCGCGATCGTCATCATGCTGAACAGCCTGTAGATCTCCTCGGCGTCGATGCCCGCAAAGGCATTCACGTCCTGGCACTTCGTCGAGAAATCGGACTTGCGATCTGGGTGCTTTCGCGAAGCTCCTTGTACTGCCGGGAGACGGCTGCAGTATTTTTCTTGATCTCTTCGGGGGCTGGAATCTTCTCCTGCTTGACGCTGGGCTTCTCGTCTGGCTTCCAGGTCGGGAACTTCGTCGGGAAGAGCGGCACAGGAAGTCCCCTTTCCATCCAGCTTCCAGTCCTGCCTCTCGATGGTATTCAGGAAGGCCTTGCAGATTACCTTGCCCCATCTCGTCGCGCAGGTCCAGGCTAGATGTAGCTTCGTCGCCCACATCTCCCACTGCGGCAAGTGCTCGTCCAGGAACAGCTCCGAGCCCTTCGCCACGTTCTCCTCGATCTCGAACATCTGGTAGTTCTTCCTGTCCACCCCAGTGCGGCGAACAAGCTTCCCCGGGAGCCGTCCGGTAGGCAGTCGTGGGCGCCCAGGGGTTGCCGAGAGCGTCCGCTGCGACCTGCTGTCCACAGGAAGGCTGGATGTGTCGACAGGTAGAGCCTCCCATTCGTTCATCTCCTCGTCCTTGACCCTGACCTCCTGGGTCTCTGCTTTGCGGCATTTTGCCTCGCGATTGAGGCTCACGCGGATATGGAAGTTGATGAGAATCGCTGAGCACTGGTCTCGAAGATTTGGCTCTTGCCAACATGGCTTTGGACGGAGGAGCATCTGAGTCTCTAGGGAGTCCAGGAAATCTAGGGATCTGTGGGAGCTCGTGAGGAGGTGTCTCGGCCTCTTGGGGATCCGAAGTAGATGTTAATGTAAACGGAGTGCAAGTGGTTTTCGTAATCGTATTCCCGGGAGTAGCCGGAATCGGTCTCGGAGATGCCGTTTTTGACGTACTGAAGGTTTCCGTATCCGAAATTCCAAGAGTCGTCGGTTGTGATATTCCGAAACCCGTTGATGATCTTGATGATCCCGTTAACGATGGTGATGTAGGCCTCCAAGACGTACCCGAAGCAGCGGTCTTAGGTGGATTCGTCTTGGGAGCCTCTGGAGAATCAGAGTGGGGATCTCGTGTGGGGATCTCGTGTGGCTTCGCGTAGGGGATCTCGTGTGGTTTCACGTTCTGGCGGCTGCTCTTTGCTTGTTTTACCCTCCAGCACCGGCGCAGCGATCGGCGTTGAGGGCGCGACCTCCTATTCGAGGGTCGCCGCGAAGCCGAAGTCAGCTTCGGCCACGAGATGCAGTGCAAAATGGCCGCACGGAAGGGAGAGCAGCTGAGCTCGGCGACCAAGCTTCTTGAAGTAGATCTCGTTCTTCTCGCAGTCGATCACGGCTCCGAGCCGTCGTAGCACGTCCACCCCGATCAGCAACGGAGAGTCGGCGTCCAGGATGTTAATCTCGAGGCCGCCATCCACACCGGCAGTGTTCAGCGGGAACGTAGCCGTCCATCTTGATGTTTTTGCCCGTCGCATCGTAGACCAGGTCGCGCAGCTTCTCGGCAGCCTGGATTCCGATGATGGAGGATGTAGTGCCGATGTCCAGAATGCCGAAGCCCCTGTGGGCACTCTCCAGCACGCTCATCAGCATCCAGTCGTTCGTCTCTTCCAGCGCGGCCA